TTCATACCAAGAAATCCTAATAATTATAAACAGCTTAATTATGCCTATATCAATTTTGAATCTGATAAGGACCTAGCCGCCGCAGCAAAAACCGAATATTCATATGAGGGTAATGTACTCTATTGGTGTGCTGACAATGCAAAGACCTGTCACATTTGTGGCAACCCTGATCATATGGCAGCGGTTTGCCCAAATAAAAAACAACGTTCTGCAAAAGATAATAAACTCCAAAAACTATATACCAAATTTCGGCCTGCGCAACACCGCAGGATTCCAAAATCCTATGCAGAAGCAGCACGAAGACCACAACAACAACAACAATCACAACAATCACATCATGAACAACAACAACAATTTGCAAGACAACAACAACAACAACCTATGAGACCATGGAATGACTCTCACCTACAAAAAAAAAAGGGAACAGCCCATGGTGGTTCTATGCATGAACCCAATAACAACCATGTCTCAGCAGAACACATAAAGATGCTTAAAAAATTACAAAATTCTTTTGAAGAATTAAAAAAAGATTTTGCCATCCAAGCTGAAGTTATTTCAAATTTTGATAAAAAACTATCAATCAGAAATAATTACTTAAAAACTTTGACAGAAAACAAAATGACACTTATCGAAAATCAAGATTCTTCAACTCAAGCATCAAACTCATTGGTTACAGCAAATAACCAAAAACGTACACATACTGATGTGGAGTATTCCTCATCAGATGAGATCGATCGCGAAGAAATCAAGAAAGCCAAAGAGGCATCAGATTGGATCAAAAAGAAAGGAGAACCTACTCTCAATTCTATTAGTGCTCAATTATCAAGTCTTGTTCACCATTTTCTTTCAGGAGGAGGACCTTCAGAAAATGATGAAATATTCATTGATGAAGAAGAAAATGAACAGATGGAAGAGGAAGATACCCCTGTTTATTAATTTCCCAAATCCAATCTTAACTATAATAAACAAAATAATAAAAATATTAATAATGAATAATAAAAATAATAATAATAATAAAAGTTCCCCTCAACAATTTAGAAACAACCCATTACGAATTATGACACAGAACATACAAGGCCTAAATTCCCAAACAAAGCAACTACAAATCTTAGACATGATGCAAATAGAACATGTTGATATATTAGGCCTCTCAGAAACTAAATTAAACAAGGCACAATCAAAGATTATTTATAAAAATAATGAACAATTCACAGCATACTTTAACAATGATTCAATAGCTCCTTTGGGATCGGGTGTTGGAATAATCTTATCAAAAGAATATTCTTGTTATGTAAATACTTACAAAGGATACAAAGGCAGAATCATTCATGTTGACCTGTTTATGAAAGGTCGTGAAAAATTAAGGATAATTCAAGTTTACTTACATGCCAACTTTACAGGTACACGCACAGAAATTGAAGAAACACATAAATATATATATGATCTATTGGAAAATTCAAACCGTAATAATTATAAAATTATAATAATGGGAGATTTTAATGTAAGTTATGAGAAATACATAGAAGGATATCGTAGAAAAGGTAATTACCATTGGTCACAAGATATCTACCACAAATTGGAGAACCGTTTCAGATTAAAGGACACTATTCAATTATACCATGATATTACTCCAACAAATCCATATCATACATTCATTCCCAAACAAAGTTCATCTTCACCAACACGCATTGACGCAATTTGGATCTCAAGAAATTTGGTGCTTGAAACGATCAATAGCAATAACTACGAAAATGAGTTGATCAATACTGATCACTATGCAGTTTTTGTTAGTTTTTTCACTCATAACATTTTTAATAGAAAATCTTACGCTACATTGAAAAGACAAAATTTAAAAAAAAGAGTTTTCACTTATGACAAAATGACCACAGAAAAATGGGAAAAATACACTCAAGATACTGACAAACAACATGATGCATTAGGGATGTCTTCAATGACAATAAATGAAATATCAGATCTAAATTACCATTGGACTACCATTCAAAAAATAATAATGGACACAGCTACTACAACAATAGATAACCACATGACAACATCGCAACACAAAAATGAACTACCACCGGTTATTACTGAAGCATACGAACATATTAAGTTTCTAAACAGAATAATATGCAGAACACAACGAAAAAATCTTTCAAAGAATAACCCAATCACTCTATCAAGTTGGTGGAATAAAAAGATACCAGAGCTGAACAACTTGATAGTTAAATATCAACAAAACATTAATATCCCACAACAATTGGATGACACTACAGTACATAACTTTAGAAACAATATAAAAAAGTTTAATAATTTTTTACAATTAAAAAATGATAAACTTTTTCAAAATCACAATGATAAACAAATTAGACACTATGTGCAGAAACGTTGTGACAACTATAATGAAGATCAAAGTCAAATGATAGACTCTTTTCTAGAAAGGAAAAAACGTACAATAGTGATTGATCGAGTATTGGAAACAAAAAATGGACAACAAACTTTAGTCACAGATCCAAATGAAATTAAAAGGTTGACAAATGAACATTTCCAAACTTGTGCAGGAGGTGTTCATGTACTCAAAGAAATTCCAGATCAATGGAAAGAACAATATAAACCAAAACCTAACATTAATGATCATATATATAATTTCTTAATGACAGCCCCAACCAAACAAGAATGGCAAGATGCCATTAATCAACTTCCTAATGACAAGGCACCTGGTCCTTCAGGAATTACAAATGAAATGTTAAAACACTTGGGACCTAAAATGTCTGAATGTATTCATAAATTTGTCGCTGGATGTCTTCGACTTAATGATATTCCATCTGCCTGGCGTGAAGCAAATGTTTATCCCATTCCAAAACCAAAAGAATGGGAATGTAATCTCAGCAACACCCGTCCAATTACCTTGCTTGAAACAACACGGAAAACCATGGTTCGATTGCTAAACAATCGATTAGCAAAAATCATGGTTGATCATAAAATTCTTAAAGGCAACCAATTCGCAGGATTGCCTGGTTCATCGACATTTGAACCTATTCGCATTCTTAATGAAATCATTGAAACAGCAAAAGAAAAGAATGAAGAACTTTGGGTATTATTCCAAGACATGTCGAAAGCTTATGATCGAGTTAATATTTTTATGCTCCAAAAAGCTTTCAAGAGATTAAAACTTCCAACTTCGTTCATTAAGATAATATCAAACTTATTCACAAATCGAAAAAATAAAGTCTTCACAGCAGTTGGGACTACTGATCAATACGATGTACTTATAGGAATTGACCAAGGAGAAGTAATTTCACCACTCCTTTGGTGTATCTATTATGATCCGCTTCTTTGCGAAATAGAGAATCAAAAATTAGGATACAATGTGTCCCATACATATAAACCAAACTTATACCAAACAACAACAAATACTGTTGAGCATACAGTATCGACTTTAGCATACATGGACGACACTTCTTGGGTAGCTCCTAACAAAAATAACATGGAAATAATACTTGGGATCGCAGACTCCTTTAATGAACTAAATAATATTAAAGTAAATAAGGATAAATCTGAGCTCTTAATGCATCAACCAAAAGTGTCATACCAACAAACAGTGATGCTTAATTTTGGAAATGAAGCTGTCAATATTAAACCTGCACGGAGGACAGAATCTATACGAATCCTAGGTGTTTGGGTAAATTTAGCAGGAGAACGAAAATTTGTTATCAACCAAGCTAAAGATGAAGTATTGGATATGTGTGAAGTATTAAAAAAGAAGCGAATAACAGATAAACAGTTGCTTTATCTATACAACATGGTCATAGTTCCTAGGATAGAATATCGTACTCAAATCACTTATCTATCACCAACTGAATGTAACAATATCATAACTCCATTTAGAAAGCTGTTTAAACATAAATTGAAAATGTCAATTTCAATGCCAAATGCCATTTTGGAAAATAATTTAATATATAAATTCAGAGATTTGGTAGAAGTTCAACGACAAGCAAAAATTACAAATTTTTTCATCCAAATCAATGATAATAATTTGTTGGGAAAAATAACTGATATACGTCTCAGGGTATTACAACAGAAAGAATGGTTGAGATTCTCACCTCTTTATGAATGGCCATATGATTTTGTTACAAGGCGTCACTATAAATCTTTCATTGCAGCAATGATTTCATTATGCAAGGAAAATAAATTTATATTTAATTTAACGAAAAATAAGAGATATGAAATTTTAGAAGGACATACTGAAATACGTTCAATATTGAACCATGTTACCTTTAATAAATATAAATGTCAACTACAAAAACATTCAATCATGTTCATTGATCAACTTACATCATTAGATGGTCATTACCTATCAAATTGGCGGACCATAACAAAACGAAGTTTTACAACACATAAATCTCAACATAGGACTCCAATGTGGTTTAAAGAATTAGAACAAAAAATTTTTTTATCAAATGATGGTAGTCGTTTAATTCAAGCCCAATATGTATATCCTATTAGTCATTTTAAAGGATCTCAAGTTTTAATGCCACCATTAAATAATCGGGCAAAAGATTGGATAGTTTTGTGGAATTTCAACAATAATATTCCAGTAATAGGAAAAATACAAGAGAAAGATAATTCGAACAATATGATTCTGATACAACATTGGTATGTTAATAACACACTATCGCTCGTTGATGCTCCAGTAATCGAACCCTGTCAAGGATGCAATATACATAGCAACTTAGGAACTGGATGTTATAATAAATACAGAGCTGCTGATGCAGTGCTGTTACAAAGAACAAAAAAACTGGACGTTAATTGTTTTCAATTATTTTTACCACTATTTGAAATTTACCAGGTAGCATTCTATCATGGATCTTTTATCCAACAAAGAATTCATTACTCTATTAATATCATTGTTCAACAACAACAACAAGATAACTTGTTGATAAGGTTCATTGAAGATGGACCCTTATTAACTCAACTTTTAAACCTCCAACAAACATTACAACACTCCAATAATTTAGAATTCTACACTGATGGTTCTTTGGTTGGATTGGGAACTATACAAATGTCAATGAGCTTCGCAATACTACAAACAGCATTGAATGCTCCTCAAATATCTTTCTCTGCTACAATAGAAAATTGGCCGTCATCAACACGTGCTGAAGTAGCAGCAATTATCATAGCATTATTAATTTCTCCAAAGAACTCACAAATTACTATTTTCACAGACAGCAAAGCTTCTATCCAACATTTTAATACACTACAAAATTCCAAGTACCCATTGATGCCAAGGAATATATTTAAAGAAGCTTCAAACAGTTTATTATGGACAATTCTTAACGACGTTGTCAACATTAATAATATTAGTCTAAATTTCGTTAAAGTAAAGGGTCACAGTGGTAACCATTTTAATGACAAAGTGGATGAATTAGCCAGATTGACACATGGTTATGATTCATTACCAATAGCTTTCATTCCAGACAATTTATTCTCAATCTCATATATTCCACGTTGGAACAATATAATTGTAGAAAAGCATTTACGACATTTTATTACAGATTTATCGAAAAATCGTGGTTTTGAACAATTTATTAACTTACACAGAAACAACAAATATCGTGAAGTAGATGTAGATTGGTGCTCCTCATTTGCTGCATTAAACGATGATGAATTATCAACAAATACATCATTCAAGGCGAGTCATATTAAAATTAGAAGGATCAAATATCTAACTAAAGAATTACCTACAGTGGAGCATGTTAAAAAAAGACGCCCTGACTTATATAAACATTGGAATTGTCCAATGTGTTGTGATGAAATAGAAACTTTTGAACATGTATGGGAATGCAAAAGTCATAAAAATATTATAGAGTCAATTATCTTTAACAACAAAAAACGTTTAGTTAAATTGATTAAAATGTTTACAAACAACAAACAATTTTCAACAAGAGATCTTCAAAATAAATCCATATGGAAAATTAATAGCAATGAAGATGATTTTAACTTTATTGACTTAATCAAAGGATTGGCACCTTTATCATTGGCCAATATTATTAACAACTCTTCAAAAAATAAAAATATAACACAAAAAATTATTTCTGTTTTCTTAAATAATATTTTTCTAGATATAGAACAATTTATATGGTCACCTCGTTGTGACCAATTTATTTTAGAAGAAGAACATGCTGGTATAAATAAAAAAGAAAAAAGAAAAAAGAAACCAAACAATAGTTCCTCTAATCCTAGTATTAATAATAGAAATAATAATCAACATAATTTAGCTTCTGGTCAAGAGGGAGTTCGTAAATCTATAATATTAGGGGAGGAATGGTTACAACATTATTCAAGGTCTTTAATAGATTAGTTGTGTGTTGGTTATCCTCAGAACGGATGCGGGTGGCCTAGCCTTAAAACATTCAGTTGGCCTGTTCGAATCCTGGTAGCCAATGCAAGGCTTGGATCTTCCATCAATTTACTTTGTATCATGGGTGGCGGGTCATTATTTCTTTTTTGATAACATTATATGTAACATGTATTAACTACATTTTACTAAGTTTAATAAATTTGAAATGAAGTCTTAGTATAAAAAAAAAAAAAAAAAAATAAATAAATTCAATATAAAACTCGACGAAAATTTTATTTTTTTTAAAAAAAAAAAACTACAAAAATAATTATAATCACTAATAAATATCATAATAAATAAATTCATAACCAATATATAATAAAAAAACAAATTCATAATCAATATATATAAAAAAACTAAAATGTATCCAAATTACACTGAAAATATTAATTCTAACAATAATATTGATAATAATGATTCTAACAACAACAATCAAACCACCGGCAACCACTACAATAATTTGATTCATCCAGGGGACAATAATTCTAGTCATCAAAACTCTGTCAGAAATAATAATAGCTATTTTGGCGGCGATAACTTTGTTTATCAACATAATATCGCCAACCAAAACTCGGAGATTATTAATAATGTTCTCGTTAACCAGAACAATTCTATTAGCCCAAGTGGCATAATCAACTATAATAATGATTATATCATTGACCAGTATCCAACCATTATTGCTACAAGCATTAATCATCCGAACAATTTTTTTGACAATAATTTCATTGATCAAAGCAACAATGATCAACTACTTATTTATATAATCTCTCAGCTTCAAAACCTTCAAAATTTTCTAAATCAATTTTTGAATAACAACAACAACAACAACAACAACAACAACAACAACAACAACAACAACAACAATGATAACTCGTAAATCAATTTTTGAACAGCGCGCTGATAGCAAAATCATGATCATCAATCAATTTATTATTTCATTATTTTCTTATAATTTTTATTCTTTGACAATGTAACTTCATTTTCTAACTATATTTTTTTTATTTTTTATATTTTATTTTTACATTTTATATTTTATATTTTATATTTTGTATTTTATATACAATCATCAATAAACAAAAAATTTTAAAATTCATTACTGTGTTCAATAGTTCGAATAATTCAAATACTGAAATAAACGAATAAATCATTCGAATACTGTCAAAACTCACCGAGAGAATATATATGTTTCTATAAAAGGATAAAATTTTTCAAAAAAAAATGAACGAGATTGGCTACTTAACTGTTAATATATGAATTTGAAGAGCGAGATTTCATATATGGTGACAATTTTGGTGAGCGTGCACGAATTTTAATTTTAATATTAATATAATAAACAAAGCAATAATAATAAAACAAAAACAGGACAAAACAACGGATTGTTTTTCTTCTCAGGAGCAGTAACTAAATATTAATATTAACATTAGTATTATATATTCCAAAAAAAAAAAAAAAAAATACAAATGCAGTGGCAAGTAGAAAAGATTGATTTTTTTCATAACATGATAAATTAATTTTTTTTACCGCCTTATCAAATTTGCAACCCTTCAGTATTAACCTTTTCCAATCTTTTATATTCTTCTAACTCTGCTTTAGAGACCTTTAATTGAGCAGAGTCAAAACTGAGAATATGCAAGTTTTTTAACGAAGGAGCTCAGCTCATTGCAATGTATATTTGTCCTTCAGCAAATATGTTCTCATCAATATTCAACAACGCGGTTGGGCTTGTTTTATATATGGCCCAAATGGCCAGCAATTTGATTCAATTTTTTGGCTTCCACCAATTACACTGTCCAGTGGAAGAGACGGTCTTAATGAAGCACGTAGATAAAAAATGGATGATATGTTTTTTTTTTAATGAAAGAATATTTTTTGATATTCCTTCATTTTATATTCATTTTTATTACTCAAATTTAGAAGGCATCTTTAAACTAAAGCTTAATTCTATTTTAAAAAATTTTTTTTTATTAATAAATTAAAATGTTGAAACATTTAACGGTGGCTTTAATTATTTAAACATAAGTTTATCTATTATTTTATAAATCAAAGGACGGAAAGGATGTAATTCATAGTCAGCTTAAGCTTTTTTATTGGTACGACATCTTTTCTTTCTTTTATTATAAATAGAACTTCTATCCATTAAAAAATTTTTTGGCAGCGCTTAACTTAACGTTAACTTTAACTACTCTACGCAATCATTTTCATAACACTTGAAATTTCCTTTTTTTTTCAAAAATCTCCTTTTTAAATACGCACACTAAATTAAATTCATCATATTCTCATATTCTTTCGTTAAAAATAATTTTCCCAAAACAATAAATGATATTGACTGTAATAATAATAATGATGAAAATTAATATTGTTGTACGTGAAATTGAAATTAAGTTATACTTTTCCAAAAATAGTATTGACTATAATAAAGGTGATGGTGGATTTAAAATAAAAAATAATATTGACTGTAATAATAATAATGATGAAATTACTTGCTATTTATTATTTCAAATAAAATGAAAATAAATAAAATAAAATGAAAACCAATAGTTAATACTTTTTCAAAAACAACGATACTGACTAAAGATACCTAAAGAAATGATTAGCATTTAGTCAATGTTACATACGAAATCACCCAAGGCATATTGACGAAAAGAGGAAAAAATTTTCTAAATAATTTTCTGATAATAAACAACCGTCAACTTCACAATAATAATTACTTTCTGTTCTGAAAAAGTGAAAAAAAAGCAGCAAGACTTGATGTTTCTTTCACGTTGAAACTTCTTGGACAGTATAAACATTTAGCAAAAAAAATGACCTTTAGAATTTTTAGAAGGCTCATTGGTAAAATGTAGATGCTGGTCTTCCAAGACAAATTATCATCAACACTTGAGTTAACATTTACAAATTGAATCTGACTACCATCTGAAATTTCAACGAAGAATCTTAATGAACAAGTGAATATAAATCTAAGAGCATATATAAATTTATTATTTTTAATTATACTTTCTCCTTTTGTCGAATTTTTCCCTTTTCCTCCTGTCAATTTCGCGAAATTAACAACAATTTGACGAAATAATTTCCCGCCCACAAAACATTTCGTCAGGCATCATTAATAACGACTATAATGGATATTATTGTAATAGTAACAGTGTTGTGACCAGAAACTCTTTTGGCTTCCCGAAATGTTTCGGAAAATGAACTTACACTAAGCAGAAAACTAAACATAAACCTAAACCAAAGCATAAACTACTAACCTAAACTAGTTTCAGGTGGTTTCTGTTAGTTCTGTTTCGGATCAAAACACTGAATAGTAATAATAAATGAAATACCTCCTTTCTCCAAACTATTGCCATCAATTTGACTTTCTGAACCAACAACAGCAAAGATAATCAAGAAGAAAAGAGAAATATTGAATTTCATTTTGATTGTTTAATTATTCTTGTTGAATTTTCACTTTTTCTTTATTTTTCAAATTATTAAAAATTTATCGTAACTCAGTTATTTTATAAATGAATTTTAGTTATTCTTCGCAATCACAGATAAATAAATCCTAATTATATTTAAGCCTTATTTTAATTTATGTGCGTGAGATAGTAGTTCAAATTAAGCATACTAATACTATATTTGGTAAATTATTTGTTTATGCAATGCAAAAAATTGTTGTCAAGTTTACGACTGAGAACGCAACGTGCGTGAGCTTTTTCTTTTTACGTATTGCACGATCACACAAGACAATAAATGGTTGTTCTCGCATTTTTTACGTAGAGATACTTCTCTCAGGCCATTTCGACGTAAGGAACCCAGCCTTCTACATTCGGCCACAATGTCGCATCCGCCTTCAAACAATCAAGATAGAACTCGAAGTTACCTATGTGAGCACATCCAAACCATGAAATTATTTATTATTATAGTGATACAACGTTATACAAAATAGTCTGACTTATGAAAAAATAGTGGCAGCTACCTAATAAAATGCATATTAATTAATACACTGTACACATATGTTGGTAAAATGAACGATCATAAAAAACATTTTTACTATACGATGATGCTATACATAGTGCGTATAGCACGTATAGTGATGTTGAAATTTGATTAGATGATTTTCAAAATGAATACAAACTGAATTTTATTATAATAATAGGAACGAGTTTTTAAACGAAAATGTAACAGCGAGTTTCGTGAAATATAGATTAGCATTATAGCACGATAATATTCTGGCGTCATAATATTATAAAATCATACGACTCAATCACATAGATATATATATTCGTTTGGAGCGTCAATATTAGCGCTGGATGCGAAGCATCTTAGCATCCTATCACTTACAAATGATGCAATATTTAATAAAATAGACTATTTCATGGCCAGATGGTGCATTGATCAAGTAGTCCAAGAAATTACAACAAATAGACCTGCTACCCTCACTCGTGGATCAAAAAATCGGTGCATTGGTTTTGCTTTTTACGTTACATTCGAATTCGAGGGTCAAGGCACGTAGTGCCAAAATGGCATTCTATGCATGATTTAACTTTACACTTAATTTAATAAATTTAATAAAAGATCCTTCGCAAAGAATAACCCTTATGTGAATCAAAGGTTATTTACGAATTTTGATTGTTAAAAAAATTAATTATACTTTTTTTCCTTATTAAAAAAAAATAGAAATTTTTGTCCTGATCTTTCCAGGTTAAAGGTAAATTGGATCAATTGTATTTTTTTTTTTCAGGACTATCGCTATAGAAGAATAAACTTCATCAAACATCAAAAGTCATTTACGAATTTCGGTTGTTAAAAAAAAAATCAACTGAGCCTTTTATTTTTAATTAACAATTCCTCCTTTTGCAAAGATTAATCAATGTATTTATTTTATTGTTTTCGAAAGGATTAATCAACGAATTCTATTTATTTTCTCCGAAAGGAAATCAGATCACAAAATCAAAAAAAGACTTGTTTGTTTCTCCGAAAGG